AACCCTAAAACAGGGTAAAAAACAGAAACTGGCACTGGGCTCTGGGTTAATAGGTTAGTCCCAAAAATGATATAAAAGTGTATAATAAAGCCCATAAACATTCAAAACAGTAGATAATATAGCATGGAGCAATCAAAAATTATAGATACGTTGGTGACGTATCAGCCGGTATTCTCTCTCTTTGTGTAAACCTTACATATTATGAGAGAAAAGGCATTAGAATTACTCCACAAAGTTTTATAATGCATAAAAACATTAAAAATAACAATAGGAAAACATGATGCAAAATGGTCGTATCAGTGGCGACCTGGTCTAGTGGTGCCACGCACTGGTGTAGGTGTCATCCCCGCGACAGGCGAGCTTGTGACTCACCCCTGGTTAATGATGTATCTTCACCGCCCAGGCTGCCCATTCGCAACATGTCATGTTGGTTCTGATGAGGCAAAACTGACGCGCCACACATTGGGTTGCTTGGCATGGATACTTAGGGGTAAGTCAGCGTAGTCATTGTCGGGGTGCTCCATTCTTGGGTCTTGTCCTTAGATGCTTTACTACTTCTGACCAGGGGGTCCCTCATTGCCCGTGCGTAGTTGGTCCCATGAGCCAACTATTCATGGTACCAACACTCGCCGTTTTAATCGAGGTTTTGAATTGTGCATAACAATTGGTTTTGCTCCTTTAGTAAAAAGCATAACAATTGGTTTTGCCTTTTTACTAATCTTGATTTTCTTTAGATTATTATTTGAGATTTTATAGATCGTACCAAGGAGCAAAACCAATTGTTATGCTTTACAGTTCAAAACGAAATGGCAGGACGCTTACATCACACCTGCCGCATTCGCATCGCAGCTCCACACAATTAGTTCTCACATGAAATGGCATCACACTTATAGCACGCCTTTCGCTGACATGTGGGACATCGAACATCGGTGTCCACGTGTCATGCACCAAATTATAGTTCAGAGCAGCGGGGGGAGGCATTCGGTCATAGTGTCATAATACCAGTATATGAGCAATGAGACATCAAATCACAAACCCCCACCTTTCCAGCGGTAAGGTGGGCAGAAGAAGCAAGCATCATTTTTACTCTTCACTGAATTCGCTTCTCCCTCCTCTTGTTCAAGAAAATCACCAAGGGCGAAGATTTTGTTTATCTATATCTATAACACTCTACAATACACGAATTTCTGAACTTGGATTCATTACTTTAGAGTGATTCAAACTATTGGTCAGGAAGCTGGAGTTGCCATGAACCGCTCATCGAACCAATACTCACTAGATCGAACGGCTAAAAATGCCTGGATTCGCCACCTGCCTTCCCTCACATGGAGTCAGTACTACTAAGAGCACCTACAATGTTCATTTTTGGCTGCCTCTAAACACTCTCTTTCTCTCTTACTAGAGGAGGCCTCCATACATTGCAGCTTGTCGCCTCTAACAAAATTTTACTAATGTCGCCTCTTAGCAAAGAGGCTGCCTCTTTCAAATAGAATAAATGTGTGTCCCCACTTGTCAGACTTCTTGTTGCCATAAGCCATGCAACTCATGTATGAGAAGCCTCCTAGGTTGAGGTTCCCATACTTCCTTTAATAGATGGTGGGCCCATCAATAAAGGAAGAAGAACATTGCTATACACTGTGTGATTTTAAGCTAAACTTATAGGCAGACTGTGGGGTCCAGCTTAGAGGCAAGACAGCCTCTAAGCATTGTGGATGCTCTAAAGCCACTAGACAGTTAGCGTGATGGGTTTTTGAATTCTGCTATTAGGTAGTGTGTGCATGTAGGGCCCATGTAGGACAGTCCCACCAAAGATTTTATATGCACAATATGGCTCTAATGTTAGTTGTACAAGCATCATTAATTCACTTTTTATGGATCATCAATTCACTTCGTACTACAACACATACATATATTAGACTTACACTAACTCGGTATTTGTTGAAACAAAACTATCATAGTAATTCCTCTATACGGTGCCCCAATGCAATGTATTTATGTTTGGACTCTGGACTAGAGGGGATGTGCTCTATACATAAATTTCTCCATCTCTCCAAGCGGAAGTGGAGAAATCACCTAAATCTATGCTACTATGAGGTCGTGGCAACATGCCCGTCATTCTCCGGGCATGTGATGGTCACAAACCACAGTCTGTTGTCGTCTTTGTCAACATCATTTTTCTATGCTGCTTCTCTCCTCCTTTTGTTGAATGGCCCATTTTTTGGTTCTCCAAATACGTCATTGCAGTCATTTTTGTCGCTAAAGAAAGGGATAAACAAAGGGGTCGGAGATTTAAGGACAAATAGAAGAGGAAAAGGCGAAGTGGGAACATGGTCGTACCTGTGCTTCGGTGTCAACTTAGGCGGATGCTCCTATCGTCTGCATGCCACCTCAAAGATGAGAGAGTCCACTTTGTTTGGGATAAGTGGACAAACCTATAGGCCTCGTCATCTCCTCTAGCTATGTTTGGGACAGGTGGAGAAATCTATAGATTTGGATTTCTCCACCTCTCCCAAACGGAAGTAACAAATCCAACCAAACCTATATATTTTGCATTAGAAAGGGAGAAACAAACGAGTCATAGATTAAGGGGAAATAGAAGAGGAAAAGACAGTGTTTACATAGAGAGGGGGTGGCACAGAGAGGCTGGCCTACTTGCGAGGAGCTCCTCATTGACACATTCCTAAATAGCTCGCCGTCCGCCAGCGTTGATGAGGACATCACTACCACAGTTACACCCATAACCCCTGCTGCTACATATACTGGACCAATTACTAGAGCTCGTGCATCCCAATTGAATTACCAGGTACTTTATTTTCTTGGTAATGATTCTAATGTTCATGAAAATATGATGCTACCTAAATTGGATACATTTGTTTTTCTTATAAATTAAGGGCCTATTATGGACAAGAAGGATGAACGTTGGAGTAGGATCGAGCCTATCATGGACAGGAAGGATGAACGTTGGAGTAGGATCGAGCATGGAGATGAAGGCACATGCGAACGAAACAAGAACAGAGTTTCCAGTGGAGTTTTCAGCACTTTGAAGCCACCATGATGACAGACAAGGACATGGCCGAAATATATAAGATGTTCTTTCATAAATTTCAACCATAGCTTATTATAGATGTTGCGCCAACTTATTTTTGGGTCAGGCCCATGTAATTTCAAAATACACTTAATAGGTTGTTTTTAGTCTGTATTAATAGGGAAAACGACTTAGGACATAATTTAGTCCCATCTCGTTACAAGGATAGACAAAATTCTCCTCTGTCTCCCTATAAATACAGTCTTTAGGGCGTCGTTTAGGCTTGGGTTTTGTTTAAATTAAAGTTCAGCATAGTGCAACACGCATACTTCATTTGTGTCCAACGGCCAGGTAAGACGTTTCAAAACCCCACTTTTAATAAAGATTTTCTCTTCAATTCACAATATCCAAATTACAATCTTAGTTTCTTACTTGTTCTTAGTTTGCCTACAAAAAACAGACCCTTATGGTTAGGTTGATCGTGCTCCAGCATGGTCAATGATCTCTCAGAGTTGGTTTAGCGATTGCTAACGCGCGACGTCTTCGTACATTCATAGTCGGATCGTCAAGGTCTACTCCGTCAAAAACTATAGTAGTCATCTCATCAAAAGATCGAGACCCTCGCCACTCCATATTGCTTGGTGAGATTTTTCCAATTTTCGTAGTCTAGATTAGATATGTTCTTCATACCTATGGTCCATGAACAAGCCAAAAATTAGTGTTAGATCATCCTATCTGAACCCATCTGGGCCTTTTTGCAAATTTTCTTTTCAGTGTTTTGTTTTGTTGAATTTGCAATTGCCTCGTCGTGTCGAGTTGCTGGTCGTCATGTTGCCGCCGCACAAATGTTACCTCCGCTGCCATATACCTCCACCACATATCCGTCGTCCCATAAAACCACCATACATCTGTCGCCGTTCCATAAAACCACCACATACTCGCTGCTATAACCCCTTACATTTTTTATGAGAGGAAGCCAACCTTTCCATGGGCATCATACTTGCATTTGAAGTGGGCATCATACTCCACCACTCCATCTCGAAATACGATTGAACACATGCCTCCTCATCCGAAAAAGTCGTTGAAAAAGCTTGGGACGGAATAGCGAGTCATTGAGTTAAAAATAATAGTTGTAGAGTAGGCAATAGTTGTTTTCTTTATTACGATTCAACGCCGGAGCATGGCCCGGGATCGACCCCCTAAACATTGGCCGCTGCCTAGCAATGTGCTCATTGACAACCAAAGTAGCTATCACAACATCACTTTAATCATCGGACGATTCTTCAAACAAAGATGAACATATTTAGTTATTTAGAAGAAGAAAAAACTCATCTGAGTTGTCCAGTGATGAAACAGTACATCAATGGATGGAGGCGGGCATGGACAAGTACCATCAATGCATGTTGGCGGGCATGGACAAGTATCGGCCGAGTCGGGCAAACAGCCGAACTCCTTGCAGGAGGGTGGGTGGCGAGTCGCGATCGATGAATGGAGTCCACGGAGACGGAGGCAACAAGGTTGTCGAACCCTGTCTCCTCCGGCGATGACCTTAAAGGCAGTGGTGGGGCTGTCATCGACCCTAGGATAGGCAGGCCATGGAAGAAGCGGCCAGAACGATGGCAAAAAGGGCGTCGATGGATGAGGCGGCAGCAGGGGTGGGGTGATGGCGTAGAGGCCAAAAGTGGGATGACGGCAGCGATGGCGATGGCAAAGAGGATGGGGTGCTAGTTGGGGGATGAATGGTCTATGTGCCATAGACGGGCCGGGCAGGCCAAGGGAAGGACACCGCTGGTGCACTGTTCACTTTCCGTAATATTACACTTGCATATGCAAACCTCCTATCAAACGCTTCAGTTTAACTTCAACTGGCGACAGGGAGTAACATACTATTGTCCTTTCAATTTCCACACAGCGGATGCACATGCATTCAAATTTCTTATTGTTGCTCACCTTCTCTGCGCAATAAATATCCAAACTAAAAATCCCATCTTTTCTTCACCCGGAACACCACAGTTGAATTATGTATATTGTTCTGAGGGACTTTTATCACGAGTTGGACTTTTGTCTTCAGGGGGGCCTCCTTTGTCTTGCCGCCTGCGTCGCCAACCTGCATTACATGGTGCAAATCTATATGAATCCAACAAAAATATATAGCAAAAAAAATAACTTAACTCCTATGATGAGCTAAATTAAGCTGCCTAGTTATTGTTGTCAGTTGTGAGTAAATCCTTACCCAAACAGATGCCCAGCCAAGCCTTTCGTCCGACCCATAACCTGCTTTCCATTTGACATGCTTACTGGCCTTTTGTTTATAGACAGCACTCCAGTAGTTCGTGTCAAAATGGTACCGGTAACTGAAGATGATAAGTATCGTTAAGCAATGGACGTAACATATAAACAGGGTGCTTCAAGCTCCCTGTGCATTGGAACGCAGAGCAAGGTTACAAGTGCATCGCTCAAAACAGTCTCACAGATCCAGGAGGCAAATCATATGATGTTTCTTTTCTAAGCCTAGATCAGCTACTCTACATCAACCTGTAGAGATACTGGATTCCAACAAAAAGATGGAAATCATTCACACCATTTTTATTTACCTGAACTTGTCTGAAGGAGTTAACTGGCGTTTAAATGCAAATGATAGTGAATTTGATGGTAAAGTGAGGCTGGGAATAAATGATAGCTCATCATCCTACAAAATTGAACAAATGATCCATTACAAGCAACATGACGGAGCAAATATTCATTAAACCAGGCCAGCTTAGGGATGTTTACCTTATAGCGATACTTGATATTCATCATATTATCATTGTACAATGCAGTGCAAACTCCATTCAGAACATGAGACTTCACTATACCATTTACTGACAAAATTTTCTCACCCTCATCCAACTTCTTCTCCTTAACTGAAACTTCCCCGTTAGGAAACAAGAAGGTTGCTCTTGGCTACACACAAAAGATATCTATTATCATGGTATCTAAGTAATAAACTCAATTAGCACACTAAAAAGGGTTGCAACGTTCACATGGTCATTAGTACCAAGGATTTGACAGCTTCTGAAAAAATTGTCAACACAAGAAAGGAATGACAGCATACATATAGGAAGATCTTTGTGATTGCATAACACTAGCTGTCTTCAGCTAAAAAAATATTCCTCTGGAATACAAAATACTGACCAATCCATCAGGAGGAACCAGCGATGATAACTCAATTTTGCATGGTGAATCTCCCAAACTAGTAGTTACTGCCACTTCTCCTTGTCCCTCCTAAGAAATAAAATGATGTCACCTATCTTATATGATATATGTACACTGTAGAACAACAAAATATAAGATTAGCATAACATTTTCTAACGTTGGGTAAGCCTTCCATTAGATTTAGAAGAACAAAGGAATATACTGACCATGTGCTAATCATTACTCATATTTCATTTAGAGCAAATAGAAGTGGCAATCAAGTATAAAACTATAAGCTGAATGCCAACTTTAGAATACTGGGTGATGTTATATAATGGTAGAAACCACATCCCAATTTTGGATGGGTACTGCTACTATCTGAGAAATGTCAGACGAAAACAATAGTTATTTTAGCCGGCAGATTGGATGGTATGTATATTAATCATCAGATGCTACGGCAGAGAACCAAATCAGGAACAAGCTGCATGTTATTCTCATTGTTCAGGGATATCTGTACCACTGGTCAAGCCCATAAATCCAACTTCCAACAAATTACCTATTGTTCACAAAGGAAACATGGTATTTTTTTCTCAAAGATGCATGAGAACTGTGTATCATTGCATTAAGGATAAAATATATATTTACTGGGAAGACCCGACACATGCCATTCAACCCAAAACTACAACGGGAAAAACATGCACCTGCAACAAAAACCAACGACCCGAATAACCCCAAAAACGACCATTAGGTCTTAGGTGGCAGCAGCAAAAAATGATTGTGCTTTGGTTTTCATAGGACACGACAAGACTACACAATGATTGTGCTTTTCAAACAACCAAAATATCACTGGATATGATACCTTTTGTTTTAGAACAATAGGGAAAGATCCTAATGGACATAAGTTCCAGGAGGAGCAGAAATAGTCACAAGCCGTGAACAAGCCTCAACAACTAAAAGGAGAAAAATAGGTAGCATATACTGAGTTGTTTCTTTTCTACAATAGAAAGAATATCTCATTTTACAGTAGAATGTACTCCCTCAGTCCCATAATATAAGAACGTTTTTTTACATTAGTGTAGTGTCTAAAACTTTCTTATATTACGGGACCGAGGGAGTACAAACAAGTGTTAATTACTACTCCCTCCATCCCAAAATAAGTGTCTCAAGCTTAATACAAGTTTGTACTAAAGTTAGTACAAAGTTGAGACACTTATTTTGGGACGGAGGGAGTACATAGTATGCAAACATAGCTAATGGGGATTCCCTAGCAAAATTCAGGTACATAATTAAGGCTCGATTTCATTAGTGCACATTTCTATGCCAAATAAACTGAAATAATCAGGTCATTATGTCAATAAAAACGAAAGATTTTTATATGCACACATGCTCAGTGTTTGCCTAGCTCTCAACAAACCGGATTGGGTCCCCCCGTGGGGATCAAGATTGGTGGAGTGGTGCACTAACAAGTTTGGGGCTGACCTAAGCAAGAAAGACGTACGGGTGATCTTCCTTCTAGTAATGTGGAAGTTATGGAAGCACCACAATGCCATTGTGTTCGATGGAACTTCACCATCACTGTCACATGTAGTTCATATAATAGAAGCGGGAATCTTAAAGGGAGATGTGGAAGCCTTGTTTGGGGCTTTGGTGAGGTGGGCTAGCGTAAGAAATTAGATTCGAGTAGGAGGGTGGAGTTGGTGTTCATGTAATATGTAATCACCAACGTGGAGGGGCTCTTCTTTAATATATAGCCCTGCTCAAGAATTCGTCCAATTAACCTGTTAAGTTGCCGATTAATCCCTACTCGTAGGGTCACCGAGTAGCCGATAAAATGATAAATTGTCCGATTAATTGATTAACTGGCTGATTAAATTGCCGATTAGTTTATTAATCCCCTACTTGCCAGCCGACCGAGCAGCTACCAATTAACGATTTCCTAAACAATGATATATAGTATGGCACAGTCGTGCGTATTTGAGGAAAAAGGAATCATTTCATGATCAAACGCAGGTCCGATATGTGACAAGTATGTGACTTTAGAAAAACCTTTGGGGGTTGACCTATAAATACGATGAAATAGATAGAGTTGCTCATCAAGTTGCATTTGCCATAATTAATTCATCCAGGTGAACTAGAGACAGACCTTGGAATCGAAAGGTTAGCCTTGGACTTAGTAGAACTAAAACTGAGTACATGAAGTGCGGTTTCAGTACTACTAGGCATGAGGAGAAGGTTAGCCTTGATGGGCAGGTGGTGCCTCGGAAGGACACTTGTTGATATTTGGGTCAATGCTGCAGAAGGATGGGGATATCGATGAAGATGTGAACCATCAAATCAAAGCCGGATGGATGAAGCGGCGCCAAGCTTTTGGCATTCTCTGTGACAAGAGAGTGCCACAAAAGCTAAAAGGCAAGTTCTATAGGACGGCGATTCGAGCCACAATGTTGTACGGCGCTAAAGTGTTGGCCGACTAAAAGGCGACATGTTCAATAGTTAGGGGTGGCGGAGATGTGAATGTTGAGATGGATGTGTGGCCACACAAGAAAGGACCGAGTCTGAAATGATAATACATGAGATAGAGTTGGGATAGCACCGATTGAGGAGAAGCTTGTCCGGCATCGTCTGAGATGGTTTGGGCATATTCAGCGCAGGCCTCCAGAAGTTCCAGTGCATAGCGGACGGCTAAAACATGCTGATAATGTCAAGAGAGGTCGGGGTAGACCGAACTTGACATGAGAGGAGTCCGTAAAGAGAGATGTGAGGGACTGGAGTATCACCAAAGAACTAGCCATGGAGAGGGGTGAGTGGAAGCCTGCTATCCATGTGCCAGAGCCATGAGTTGGTCGTGAGATCTTATGGGTTTCACCTTAGCCTACCCCAACTTGTTTGGGACTAAAGGCATTGTTGTTGTTGTTGAACTAAAGACAAACCAGGTATTTAGAGATAAGAATGAAGTGTTTTCCGAGTGGACAATAAATATTGCAAGTGCAAATGTTGAAACTTGGAAAATTGAAAAGGAGCTTCATGAATGCCATGAAAAATCATGAAAGTTGAAAAGCAAGTTAGTCGCATCTTGATCAACTTGTTACTGAGTGTTGGATACTAACTAGGCTTCGGCCTGTGCTACATCTCCTAGCCCATGTGGCCCATCTGTCTATTGGTGGACAGAGTATATAACTTGGGGGAGGGGGGCTCTCTCTTGTAACCCTAGGACGTTACAGCAGCTGGCTGCTCTCTTAGGTTAGCCACTCCTTCCTTCCTTTCTACTCCCTCTGTAAACTAATATAAGATGATTTAGATCACTAAAGTAGTGACCTAAAACGTCTTATATTAGTTTACAGAGCATGGTATCAGAGAGGCTGGCCAATCTGCTGTAGGTGACAGCAGATCCAAAGGATGTTAAAGGCAGTGGTGTAGGTGGCAGCAGATCCAAAGGAGGTTGAAAGCAGGGTGTAGATCGCAGCAGATATAAAGGAGATTGAAGGCAGTGGTGCTTGTGATGGAGTTTGTGTTGCTGTGAGTGGAGATGGCACAGGATCTGGCCAAGGTAACTCGACAGGTTGGCCAATCTGCTGGCTGCAAAGGCAGCAGATGGGTCGCCCTCTTCTGATATTTCTGGGGAAGGTAGGAAGCAAGCCCCAAAGAGAGAGGTGCAGTACAAGCTTGAGCTCATGCCAAATGAGATCAAGCTGGATGGGGTTGGAAACTACCTGAGTTGGTCCAGGAGGGGAATGCTAATTTTTAGGATGAAATCAATTGAAGGGTATGTGTTAGGAAAGATCAGTGAAGCCTGAAGAGAAGCTGGGAGATGAGTGGAAGAAATGAAATGCTACGGATTCACTGGTACTCACTTGATTGCTGAATTCCTTGACACCTGCTGTTGCAGCACCAGTGGAAGCGCTTTCCACGTCAGGTATGGGATGCCCTGTCAAAGATGTATTCAGGCAAGGGAAATGTTATGCTGGTCTCTCAGACTGAAGACACAATACACAACCTGACTCGAGATGAAAAAACAGTGAAGACATGTGTGGGAGAGCACCGTGCTCCAACAGGCCCGCAAAAACACGCGGACGCAAGCACATTGAACGACTACCAACCAATAAGCCTTATCCACCTGGTGGCGAAGATCTTCGCCAAAGTACTCTCCCTTCGACTTGCCCCCAAGCTGGATGGTCTTGTCAGACGGAGCCAAAATGCGTTCATCGCCGGTCGAAGCCTACATGACAACCTCATTCTAGTCAAGCAATCGGCCCGGCTTCTCCACCAGTTGGGTGCCCCGCGAATCTTGCTCAAATTGGACCTCACGCATGCCTTCGACTCTTGGAGGTCCTGCGCCAATATGGCTTCGGGAACAGGTTTCTGGAGTGGATCACTATCGTCCTCTCATCAACAAGCACACGAGTACTTACGAACGGCGAGCCAGGCCCACCTATTTGGCACCGCCAGGGTGACCCCTGTCACCGCAGCTGTTTGTGCTCGTTGTCAACATCTTAGGCAGGCTCATCAAGCACGCAATTGACTTGGAAGTTGACTTGGAAGTCATGGCTCAGCTGCACCCGACGCGTTCGATCCCCACGATGTCCCTATACACCGACGACGTGGTGCTTCTCTGTCACTGTTCGTCCAGCGACATCATCGTCGTGTGCGAAGTCCTGATGCTCTTCGGTCGCGCCTCCGGCCTGATGGTTAATTACGTCAAGAGCTCCGCCTTGCTGTTGCACTGCAACACGAACGAGGCGACATCTGCGCTGGCACACCTTCGCTGCCCTACCGTCGACCTGCCGATCACCTACCTTGGGATCCCCCTCACAATAGGCCGACCGACTGCCGCCCAATTGCAACCCCTCGTCGATGGGATTGCCAGGCGGCTCCCCGCATGGAAGGCCAACCCGACGAACAAAAGTGGGTGTCTCGCGCTAGTGAAGTCAGTCCTAGGTGCCATCCCCGTGCACCAGCTCCTCACCTTCATGCCGCCGAAGAAGATGCTTCGTCAAATCAAGAAGATTCAGCGTAGCTTCTTGTGGGTTGGCCGCGCTGCCGCCAATGTTGGCACTGCCACATCAATTGGCGCCGCGTCTGCCGTCCCATAT